CACTGCAGGTGGTGGGAGAGAAACGTTGCAAAGATTCAGAGATATGCCATATAGGTAAGCTTTCAGGGGTTCAATGGTCTGGAGCATGTCAGAGCATCCCCTCCAAAGCTCCAAGCTGTTCCACTTCATACCTCCTACCACTAAGAAACCCAGAGCTTGGTGGGCCTCTCCAGGTGAGAAGAATCACTGTGGCTGACATTCTGATGAAAGTGATTCTAGGCTTTGTAATGTGGTTGTGTGTTTGGGAGGCAGGGAGTGGGGAAGCAGTGGGTATACCATCTTAATAAATAAAATGTGCTAATCAATGTTTTTCACTTAACAATATAAAATGGACACTGTCACATCAGTAAACACAGCTCTACATCATCCGTGCCCTACCTTTCATTTATCCTCAAAACTGAACCACAGTTAGCTCTTCAGTTATTTTTGGTCAGGTAAGCATAGTGATTTGTACTGCGAGGCAGCACAGGCTGGCATTCAGGAGCACAGCCTCTGTAAGTGGAAGCCCAGTTCCTGCACTTCTCCACTTGCTGACAGTGTGTCCTTGGGCAAGCTACTCATCCTCCCCTGTACTGTTTCATCTGTAAAATGGAGATACTAGTAGTAAATTGCTCACTGGATTATTGTGAGGATTAATGAATTAATATTTATTATGCACTTAGAAAGTGGCCCTCCATGCAATACATATGTAATAAACAAGCAAACTTAAAAGATTAACATAAACACCCTTGTATCAATTCAGGCTCTTTGCTATCAAGAGAAACCCAATATATACCCAAAAGAATAGAAATCATCCTATGATAAGGATACATGCACGTGTATATTCATTGCAGCACTATTCACAATAGTAAAAACATTCAGTCAACCCAAACGTCCAGCAATAATAGACTGGATAAAGAAAATGTGGTACATATACACCATGGAATACTATACAGTCACATGAAGAAACTAGATCATGTCCTTTGCAGGGGCATGGATGGAGCTCAAAGCCATTATAATGCAGGAACAGAAAACCAAGCACCACAGGTTCTCACTTATAAGTGGGAGCTGAACAATGAGAACACATTTTCAGAACACATGGACACAGGGAGGGGAACAACACACTGGGGCCTGTTGTTGGGGGCAGGGGAAGGGAGAGCATCAGGATGAATAGCTAATGCATGCAGGGCTTAATACCTTGGTGATGGGTTGATAGGTGGAGCAAACCACCATGGCACACATTTACCTATGGAACAAACCTGCACGTCCTGCACATGTATCCCAGAGCTTGAAATTAAATTAAATTTAGAAAAAAAAAAAAAGAATCCATTGTGAAAGAATCCAATCACCAAAGACCACACAATTTATTATTCCATTTATGTGAAATGTTTAGAATAGGTAAATCCATAGAGACAGAAGGTAGATTAATTGGTGGTTGCCCAATGCTGGGAGGTTGAGGGGAAATGGGTATGTGGTTTCTTTTTACAGTGACAAAAATGTTCTGAAATTGATCGTGGTGATGGTTAAAAAGCCCTGTGAACATACTATATGACTTTGAATTGTACCATTTAAATGGGTAAATCATATGGTGTGTTAATTGTATCTCAATAAAGCTGTTAAAAAATAAAAAAATTTTAAAAAGAGAGACCCAATTTATCTAGGCTAGACAAAAGTTACTCCGACGATGAAATACACGGTGCCTCACAGAAAGGGCCAGAAAGCAGGGTTACAGAGTTGGCAAATGGCCCTGGGAAAGGGCAGGAATCAGAGCATTTCCAGGCAATCATGCACCAGGAATGACGCAGCCATCCCCTCAAGGATGTTAAGATTTTACCAATTATTGTTGATTTCTTTAACTCCTCACAATACTTCACTCAAGCTCAACTCCCCCCAAACAGCATCTGGTTGGCCTGGCCTGCTCAGGGGCCAGCACTGTGATTAAAGTCCCTCACTCCTGCGCCCAGAAGGGAGCGCTCCTTCACCCAAAGGAACAGGGGACTGTTAGGAAAGGGGGATGGAGCAGGCTGGACAGCCAAGGAAATCACAGCTGACTGAAGAAACCCACCTGGGACACTCACAGCCTGGACCACTGCTGTCTAACGGAGGAATAGGGGCAACTCCAGGCCAGTCAGAGAGGCCAAAGAACTGGGGGCTGCCAAGTTCCTTGGGTCCACAGGAACAGGTAACTGTTTCCCCATTGCCCTGTGCTGTGGAGGCAAAGACTGAGATGGTCACTGTTCATCTGACATGAAGCTACACTACCCCTTACTACATTACATCAACACCGATATATTTCTCTCCCGAAATATTTATTCACATTTTTCCCTGAACCACATGGTGTGTGCGACTGAAAGAGTCTACACCGGTTCATACAAGGACAGCGCAGTCTTGAGTTGTGTATTGTGTCCCCACCAATATTAAGCAGGAAACTAGGGTGTGGCCTGTTCAAGGAAGGGGGTTACTTCTCTGCTGAGACATTTGGTTACATATTTAACTGCATCCTGCCAGAGCTGCCAGAAAGGTGGGTAGGACCACTTTCCATCTCCTGTTCACCTCATCCTCCAGAGGGTTCATCCACAGTTGCCTGAGTCTGGGTGGGGAGGAGGATGCGGGACCCCAGCCTTGAGATCTCAGGACCTCGAGTCTTGGCCATATAATGATGTGGCCGCCACTTCTGGCTCTCTCTGGTGTCTGTGTTCACTCTTCCGGGTCTCAGAGAATGGGATTGTGTCCATGGCTGGTGCACTCTGCATGCCAGTGGACATGTCTGCTCTTAGATGTTTTTGTAACATCTGTGTCCGTACATGTGGCCCAGAGTGCTGCGCAGGAGCTGGCTGGTGCTTTTTGTTTTGTGCTTATTCAGGAAATACAAGAAATGACTCCTGGGTTCCTGCATGTGCCATTGTCTGAATGATAAATGGTAAATCCTGGCCCCACTTCCTCATGTCCCCAGTGGGGAAGGACCCAATTTCCAATTCTGGATTCTTGCAAGCACAGCTCAAGAATATCATTATTGTCATCACAGCTGAGCCTGGAATCCAGGCTCTGGGATAAATGTGAGCCCCTCACTTCCATGCCTCCACGTTCAATAGACTGAACACCTTCTAGAATTATTCATGAGAGAGGGTGTAATAGGCCATAGATGGTATGTGCAGAGGGGTCTCCAATTCTCTCCAGAAAGGAGAGTGTCACCTACTAGACTGAGTCCACTGGCCATTCTCAACTGGCTAGTAGCTGCAGAAATGGATCTGTCAGGGAACTTACACTTTATTCTATTCCCTTATACACCAAGAAAATGGATCAGTAGCAGATGAGATGGACGAGTTTCCAACTTCAATGTCATTGTTTTGGAAACCAGCACAACTTGTCAGTATGTTGCCCAGAAAGACATTGGACCAGAACAGCCTGGAGGCCATCTGCTCCCCAAAGAACTATATTCCACCTGGCAGTTTTACAGCCCACCTACCCTGAGAGCCTTATCCCAAGGTGAGACAGGGGACATCCAGCAAAACCTGGTTCCCAGGGCCACTTCATGACCTAGCCAGACCAGGTGGTCCTCTTGTGTTAGTGGGCTGGGGCCCTGTAGAATGTCAACCTGTTCCCTGAGCACAGCATTCGTACCCATGAGAAACATGTGCACCAGCTAGTCCTAGACAGGACTGTCCCACCAGCTCTGAAGACGTGTTTGGCCCTGGGGAGAGCCCATTAGACTTTATTTTGGATTTCCCCTACAGCAGATCTGTTACGACTGACAGTCTAACAAAACCCACCTCATCCTCAAAACAGGGTCTTCTCAGCCCTTGCTAGGCAAAGGTACCCTGGGAGAGCCCCCCAGTGCTCTGGTCAGCTGTCTCCCACCCGCGTTCCCATGAGGAGCACCTGGGGAGACGCAGATTCCACCCCCTCCCTGCACATCTCCGCCAGGCGACAGTTGGCAGATGGGCAGTGGCCTGTGCTAAAACTGTACTTCCTGTCTCATAACCTGTCTCGTAACCACTAAACCTTCATGAAGCTACACTTTCCAACCCTGCCCTTCTTTCATTCTGTTCAGCAATACTGAGGAACCTGCCAGGGACCCTCTTCATAGAGGCACCCACTTGCAAACCGAAAGAAGCAGAAGCTGCTGCCCAGCAGGTGCTGGTGGAGACCATCTGGAGGGGCCACCATGTATCTCCTTCCCTCACGACACACGCATCACCTAGCAGTCCTGAGATCTAGGACAGTCTGGGGGCCATTCCATCTCACCATGATGAAAGTAATAGACATATGGAGGTTTGCAGAAATATTAGGAGTGCAGACGTGGTAAAAGTCTGCATTGTTCATTCAAGCCTTTCCTGGCTCCAGCCCTAGGCACCAGGCTCCCTCCACTCCTGGTGGTGTCCAGCCCTGCCTCATTGGCACCCTGAGGCTCACAAAGAGACCCCAGGCCGACCACAGCTCAAAAGACCTTCCTCTTCCTTTCTGAGGGTAGGTCTGACCCTGAAGCCTTAGTTCCATGCTAGTGGAGGCATCCAACATGGAGCTGCCTGGTTCCATATGTCAGGTGACAGCCTCAAGTGCTAACGGGGACACACTGGTGAACACAGGAAGATGTCACCAGGAATCCCCAGAATGTGAAACACAGTGAGCCTGTAGGGTCGTTCCTCTGCAGTCCAGCAGTTGGGGCTCAAAGTGAAACTAAAGGGAAAGTGAAGCCCCCTTCCCCTCACTCAGGGAGACTGGGTTTTGGGGCATTGCCAAACGTCTCTGCATGAAAGGCACTTCTTTGAAGTCTCGTATCTTCTAATTCACTCCGTTGTTGCCGTTTGCCCACTATTTTTGAATGCTTTCAACTGCTCAGCATCGAGTCACATCAGTGTGCCCCGCAAGGACAGCAGGAGTGTCCCGCAGGGCCTTAGGGTGCGGGGCAGGCTTCAGGGCTTCAGCCTCCAGGGAGGTGCAGAAGGCAGAACCGCTCGTGGCTCCGGAAGGAATGAAACTCTTAGGGAAGAGGACAGGAACCAGGAGGAGCTAAGGGCAGAGTCCCCCGCCCCTCACGGGCTGAACAGAGGGCAGGCGGCGACCCGGTGGTGCTCGTGAGCTGCCAGAGGGCCAAATGATCTCAGAACCCAGTCCTTACGTGGATTCGACTTTATTTAGAAGAACTACGGCCCTTCTACCACACACTTCGAAGGGTTTGGTGAGCTAGAATCCCGATAAGAGGATTTTCGGTTTCTGTTTCCGCCCAGCCCTAAAGAGGCTGCAGCGCTATGCGCGGCGGGGAGGGGGCGCAGGCCCGGCGGGGGCGGAGCCCGGAGGAGCGCGGGGCAGCAGCGGGGACGGGAAGGCGGGAGGCGCACACGCGGAATGGCTGTCACGGGCCCCTTGCTCGTTGCGCGTGCTCACAGTGTGTCCCTGGCGGGCCTCGCCGGCTGGGTGGCCTCAGAAAGGAGGCATGAGGTGGCGCCCATGGACCACCAGGAGCCTGTGCTGTCCGTCAGTTACCAGGGGACAGGGATCTGAGGATGTTCAACGACAGATACGACAGGGGCTCAGCTGAAGGACCCTGCGTGATGATGCGGACTCAGGGGCGGCCCTGGGCCAGTCTGCTTCCTCCTGGTGCTGCACAAGGACTGAGGGCGTCCTCGGGATTTCTCATGAATGGTCCCCACCTTCAGAAGGTGTCCAGAGGGGCTCCTGTGTTGTCCAATGCTCCCCTTGTCTTTCTGACTCCCTACAACCCTTCACCCATAGCCTCTTCCTCCCCTGCCAGGGTACCTCTTCCCATTCGCCCATTTTCCAAGGATTCACTCCATTCAACAGCAGTAATCACATTTCCACCTCCAACAATCCCACTGGCATCTTACAGTGTTGCAGGCTCAGATGTCCAAAGCTCCATCTTTAGGCCAGTCACTGAGGCTCTGCTGAGCAGGGGACCCTGGTGAGTGGGCCGGGGAGGATCAGACCAGCCTGGTCTCACCCAACTTCCTAAAAGCTGAAATATTGCCACCAATATTTCTGCTGAGCCCAGGGGATAATTGCTGAGCCCAGGGGATAATTGCATCACAATCATGCAATTGCAAGGAGCTATGACCCCAGCCTCTAGCCATCTGGGGCACAGATAGAAGAGAACCTGAGAAGAGAGATGCATACCCATGTGCTTGAACCCTTTGAGATATAGGCAAAATGGAGAGACAGATGGGGATCGAAATACCAACTTTATTCCTGATAAAAGCTGGATTGGGGATGTGACTTAGATATGTGGCAATAAAGGGACCCCCAACACTGAACTCCAGAACTGGGCTTAGTTGCATGGCCTCAGGCTGCTCCAGCCCTCTCTCACACTATGCAGGCCCCTGTCCTTGTGCACTTGAGCTTGGAGGAACCAACAGAGTCTTGGTCTCTGCAGGCAGGATGACTCCAGGGAGGCCCAGCAAGGAGAAGGCTCACTCCCACTCCCAGTTAGAGAAGAGTCCCCTAGAAGATGGGCGAGGACCGGGCCTTGATTGATGTTCCACCTCCTAGAAGAAGACAGTTCGGCAGGACTGGGTGCTCCCACTAAATATCCCAGGTGCCTGCTCTTCACTTATCACTTCTACATCCCTTGGAGGGTGGCCAGGTTCTCTATTCTCATGTCCCAGTGGTGCTGTTGCTGCAGCTGCCTCCTGTCCTGAAACTCTGTGGTCCATGATGCCAGTGACCTCATCTCAGGGATAGACCTCTGGTTCCCACATGGGGGTCCCAGGTTCAAGAATCACCCCCACCAGTAAAGGGTCTTGACTGCAAATTGTCCAGGTTCTTGGAGTTTTGAACAAAGAATTGGACAAAGCACACAGCAAAGCAAGAAAAGAATAACGCAACAAAAGAACGAAAGCAGGGATTTATTGAAAATGGAAGTACACTCCACAGTGTGGGACCAGGCACGAGCCGTGTTCAGTGGTCTTGGATACAGAATCTTCTCTGGTCCAAATACCCGCTAGAGGTTTCCCATTGACCACTTGGTGCTCACCTCATGTAAATGAAGTGGTGGCCTGCAATCAGTCTCATTGGTTGCGGAAAGCAACCAATCAAAGGCTGAAGTGAAGTTATAAAGGTCACACTCCTGTGCAAATCACAGGCTAAAGCAAAGTTACAAAGTTGCACTTCTATGCAAAGGAAGACTTGGAGCAAGTCTTCTCGGTCACTTCTTGTTCTTTGAGGAATGATGAATCAGAATCTAAATGGAAAAGCTGGGCAGAGATAGAACCCCCAGTGGGAGCCACCCTGCCCTTCCATGTCTAGATCATCTGGGTTCCAACCTCCATTGGCCTCCAATGAAAAACTTTTATCTTAACTTTGAAGTAAAGTTACAAAGTTACACTCCTAGGCAAACATCTGATTGGGTGCAAAAGAAACAACTATACATAGGTACTTTCAATTTCCCATTGCCCCACAGAAAAGGTGGAGGTTTGCAAAGGGAGTAGCCTCTGGACCTTTTGTTACTTAGGCATGGAAAGTTAGGGTTTTCCTTTCAATTTAGTTCTATGAAGTTAGCATGAAATGGCCTTAGGTTCCCTGCCTCCAGACCCTATTCTCCTGCCTCAGCCACACCACTGAAGTCTGAACTGAAGCTGCTCTTGGTGAAATGTATGAGGCCCATGACCTGGCTGGGTGCCCTGCCTGTGGTCCTTCCTCAATCACTGCCTCTCCTGCTTTTGAGTTTTCCAGGCTCCAGTAACTGGAACTACTTCTGTGACAGCAGAAACATTCCCTATTGCCTGTGCTCCTTGCAGCCATGGACAATGCCCCAGGAGTTCCATTATTTCCTTCTAAATAATCCAGCAGGATTTTTAGAAGTTCACACGACTTCTTAATTTGGTCCTGTCCCTTTCCCAACCCAGGTGTGTCTGACATTGTTTTCTGGATCAAAGAAACTTTGCTTTCTTCACAGAGGCCTACAGATTCTCCGTATACCAGCAGAGCATGGTGCATGCTCATCTGTCTCCAACCTCATCCGACAAGAACGTCTCCTTCCCTGCTGCCAGGAGGTGCCCCAGCATGGGCATGTCTGCCCGCAAAGTTCAACCCTCAAGGAATCCCCTGCCAACCTGTGGCTCATTGGTCTGGAATTCCAGGTGCTGCTCTTAGCAGCACCTAAGCACATCCAGGGAAAAGCTGGCACCTTTATGTCAGTGCCGCTCAGTGGCCTGGGCCTGCCTGCTGCCCAGAGGCAGCGAGAGGGGAGAATGTGAACCACACCAGAGCATACTGGTGTGGTCCACTCTGGTGTGGTCCATGCCAGGCCTTCTTGGGGCCAATGTGCCTTATGGAGACTGGGATCAAAGGACAGCTGTGCCAGACAGAGGCTCAGCTTACCAGCCCTTCAGCCCCATAAAGTTGGGGAGTCGTGGGGGGTAGCAAGAGTAAGAGAAAGAGAGAGAGACCTACAGGTGTGCAGTGCCTGATAGAAACAGTGACCTTGCCCACCGGAAAAGCTGTCCTCACCAGTGTCCTGGTGCCTGGTCATTCACTCATGGGGAAAAGAAGGGCAGAAGTAGAGTGAGGGTAGAAAGCCCCCTCCCCCACATTTTCAAATGTACCTGGACAAGCATCCTTATTCACAGCTGGAAAAAGTTGGATTCAGTAGAATGCCATTTCGAAAACATCGTTGTGAAGCGCCATCCCCTCTGGCCCCTGAATCCTCACTGGCTTCCACCCTCTGCTGACTTTGGGCCCCGGATTCCAGTGCTCCCAGGCTCCCACCTGCCTCCCTGTCCTTGCCCCATGGTTCTGCCTGGAGTTCTGGTCCCTGGTTGTGTCCTGTGGCCCCATTCTCATGCGCCCTTTGCTTCTATTTCTTTACCTATGACTTTATACTGATGTAGAGCAAGTCTTCTCGGTCACTTCTTGTTCTTTGAGGAATGATGAATCAGAATCTAAATGGAAAATCTGGGCAGAGATAGAACCCCCAGCAGGAGCCACCCTGCCCTTCCATGTCTAGATCATCTGGGTTCCAGCCTCCATCCGCCTCCAGTGAAAAGCTTTTGTCTTCTCAAGATTCCAGTTACTTCTCCGAAGTTCTCTTCACCCCTGGCTGTTGCGAGGTGGCCCCATAGTCAAGATTCCTTAAACCCTTGCACGTAAAATGTTTGCCTTTCTTACCTTGCTGGCTCCAGCCTCTGGTCCCAGGGGTGTCGACAGTTCTCTCTTACGTCTGGTTGATTTCTAGGAAGGCTAAGAACACTCTCCCTAGGTTACAATGCCAAGCATTTTGGTTCTCTCCAGCCCTGGGTCCCAATGTTGAGACCTACCTTAGTCCAGTTCAGGCTCTCCGATGGGCCTGAGAGAAGATTTAAAAGTTTCTGGCTTTACCCTCCAACCCTCCAACCTTCCATCCCCCACCCCCAGCCATCTCAGCAAGGGGAAGGGGCAAACATGGAGACTCCCCCCAGGTCCCATGTAAACTATGCCCCCTCTTAGAGGGCAGAGCAGCTAAGGACAATTTTGGTTCAAGGAAATTTGTTTGTTGTCCATTGCACAAACAAGTGGACTCCTGGGAGCTGGCCCTGCTCATCCCCTGGGCCCTCCTTCCCTGGTCCTGTAGGTCTTGCTGCTTGTCAGGCCTCTACTCCAACCCTCTGCCACATTTCAGAAAAGCTGAGAACCCCTTGGAGTGAAAAAGGAGGAGAAACACAGTGTTCATAGCCAGCAGGAGGTTAAATAAATACTTTCACTTCTCTTTTCCCCATTTGGGCGGAGCCCTTTCTGAGTCAGTCTGTCGGCCGGCCGACTTCCTGCTTGGGGCCTGGGCAGCCACACTGCACTCAGGCTGGGCCCACGGAGGGGCTCAGAGGCCAGGCTCTGAGGCCCAGGCAGGGCCTAGGGTGAGAAGATGGCAGATGGTGGCGGCGACCTGAGCACCAGGTAAGTCTTTACCTCTCTTCCTTTAACCTTTATCTGTGGCAGTATTGGAGCTTTCATGCCTTTAGTTCAGTTTGTGCCTAAGGCTTCACTTTAGTTTAATCCTTCTTTGCAAGAACATAGGTATGCGATGTAATATAATGAAATGAAAGAGCGTGTAATGGGGAAATCAGATTTTTTAAAATGGGAGCAGGACAGCTGTTGGTGTGAGTCCAACTTGCCATAACACACGTGATTTTCTTGTTTTGGATCTACTGCTCAGCTGACCGGGACACTCTGAACATAGCAGTCGTTGGTGGCTGGGATTAACTGTTTCCTCATGATCTCTGAACCCTTTCGCATCCCTCAGCCTTCCTCTACCTTCACATATGTCACGTCCAAAAAGGTGGTTTAGAAAATAAGCACTCGAGGGTGAACACCTGGCTTACTTTTAAACATCAGACGCTGTGATCTCACCTGTCCTGGCAAGGGGCATCTGTCGGCTGTTCCCATGACTGGCTCAGGGTCTGAGTTCTTATACCATCAACCTTGATCAAAAGAAGGAAAGGGAAGAAAAAGGCCCAAGGTGGCAAAAGGCTAAATATTTTCATTTTTACTTCAATTTCCTGTCCCAAGATGGGGGATACCTCTGACCAGAAGAGAGAAGGAAATCCTATCTTTTCTCTAGTAATGAATTCAGAAATAACATTACTTAATCTTTTAAATTTTTTAATACAAAAGAAATACACTATACATTATTGTTCATTAAATTTAAAACAGTGGAGAAGTATAATAAGGAAAAAGTCATCTTTACTACTCACCCATTCTTGTAGCTTCCCTTCCCAGTCCTGTGAAGAGTCTTGGGCACGGCTTTTCGTATGTTTTTCTATGCATTTATGTATCTAATGCATTTTTTGTAAATACATAACTTATGTCCTTGTTTTGTAATAAATTACATTGCATGTGCTAATCTGCATTTTGCATGTTTACTTATTTTAATAGTGGAAAACTTAAGAGATCTTTTAACCTTAATACATAAAGATCTGCCTCATTCTTTTTATACATGCTATTCCATAGAATTGATATATGATAATTATTTAACTATTCTCCAGTTGAAGGACATTTAGGTTGTTTTTAAACTGTTCACATTTACCAATAAGCTATCATAACAATGATTTGTTTTGGGGGGGTTTACATCTATACAAGTATTTAACTTATCTCTAAACCTTAAAAATGGAATTATTGAGGCACAGGGTCCAGTTATTTACTTGGTCCTGCCAAATTGTCTTTCTAGGAGTCTGAATGAATGTATTTCACCAATAGCAAATGAGACGAACCATCTTCCTGCACACAGCCACGGTTTGCAAAGGTGATGAATGAAGAGTTACATCTTGTTTTAATTTGTATTTTCCTTACAATGTGGAAAATTGAACAGCTTTTCATGTTTCTTGGCCATTTAAATTCCCTCTTCTATAAATTGCTTGTTTATTTTTTGCCAATATGATTCCATTGAGGTGTTTGTCCTTTTTTTTTTTTTCATGATATGGGAGAATTCACTAAATATTCTATAAGTATAAATATACTTTTCTTGTCCATGACCTTTGTATATGGTGACTTTTATCTTATTAAAGCTTAAAATTTAACATATAAGCCTCCTGTGATATGGATTTGTTAAGATAGATTCACCCTTGTTATAAATGAGGTGATGCTGACAACTTCCGTGAGCACTGTCAGTTTTGACACTTGTTCCTGTGTGAAGGTGGCAGATTCGCTACTACCGTTATTCCAGGAAGAGCTCCTCCTCTGAGATCTCTGAAAATTTTTTGGATTTTTAAACAGAAATATTCTTACACTGGAGCCACTGTAGCCTTCACAGCTTTTATTTGCCCCTACGCTTTCATCTTTTCAGTTTTTTACTTTGTGTTCATAATAGTTTTCTCGAACTTTTCCTCCATGACAATTACCTTTGAATAGGTTTCTTGCTTCTTATCATTTCCAATTTTTTAAAAATTGAGTGTTTATTTTTGAGGAGGGATCTTAATTTGTTTCTAGACCTCTGCAAGCTCCATAACCTCTTGCCATTCAATCTTCACAGTCTTGCTTTATTTAGGTTTGCCTGTGCTGTTAAGAACTTTGGGATATTCTCCTTATTGTCTCTTAGTTATTTTTCCAGACTGATTCTGTCTGATCTTGTGTTCTGTGTGCCTGTGGTGGCTTTACAGCTCCTCTAGCCAGGCTCAGCCCAGGCAGGTCACCCCAAACTTCCCGCTTGCTTAGTCACAATCTGAATGAACTTGTTTTTTTTTTTACATTTCCTGTTTTATCTAAGATCAAATTGGTTTTTGTCTGAGCTACAGTTTGAAGTCTTTGTTTTGATTCTTATCAGTTTTTCTGAGGACACCATGAATTGATGAAATTATCCTTTTCCCTCCTGATTCGCAGTGCTACCCTTTTGGGGAGTATAGAGGTAGGGTGTGCTTCTGTGTTCTCTCTTCTCTGTCCTTGGCCTGTGACAGCCCCTCCTTATGCCAGTACCACGCTGCCACAGTGATGGCAGCTTCCCAGGAACTCTTGACATCTGAGGGAGCAAATCTCTTCCTCTTCCTCCAGAATGTCTTAGACTCCCAAATTCACCTGTCAAAATCTTGAGATTTTGTGTGGAACTGCACTCAATCTATGAATCAGTTTGAAGAGAACGGACATCTTTATAATATTATGACTTCCATCTCGTGAATATGGTGTATGTATATTATTACTTTAAACATATTTCCTATTAAAATTTGTATTTTTCTCTCTGAAGGTTTTGCCCTTCAGAGAGAAAGGTTGCTAGATTCCTTTGTAGGTATTTGATATTTTTATGCCATTATTAACTAAAGTACTCCTCCCTTATCAATGGTTTTACTAATTTCAGTTACTTGCAGTAAAACTTGGTCCAAAAACATTAAATGCAAAATTCCAGAAAATAATTCATGAGTTTTAAGATACTTCGCATTCCGAGGAGTGTGATGAAATCTCATGCTGTCCCTCTCCATCCTGCCCAGGATGTGAACCATCCATTTATCCAGGGTATCCACAATGTTGACACTACCAGCCGATGAGTCCCTGAGTAGCTGTCCTGGTGATCAGATCCACTGTCCTGGTATAACAGAGCTTGTGTTCAAGGAACCCTTATTTTAGTCAATAATGGCCCCAAAGCACAAGAAGACTGATGCTGGCAATTCAGATATGCCAAAGAGAAGCCGTCAAGCACTTCCTTTAGGTGAAAATGTGAAATTTCCTGAAAGAAAAAGATAATATGCTGAGGTTGTTAATATCTACAGTATGATGTTTTGAGAAAGGAAAAGAAACCACATTTACATAATTTTTAGTATAATACATTGTTATAGTTGATCTACTTTATTATTAGATATTGTTATTAATCTTTTATTGTGCCTTATTTATGTATAGATAGGGTAAAACATAGTATGTCCAGAGTTTGGTACTATCTGCAGTTTCAAGCGTCCACTGGGGCTCCTGGAAGCATCCCCTGTGGGTACAAGGGAACTAGTGTACTAAATTTTATGTATGAATTTGCATTGGTGACCCATGTTCTGATCCATGGTTCTATTTTTCATTCTTGTTTCAATATTGAAATGTTTTAGTTACTATGATTTTATAGGTAGTGTTCTGTAGCCTACCTTATTGGGATTCAATTGAGAGACACTAAATGAACAGATAAATTTAAGAAGAATTTATGTTTTTTAAAAAACCCTGAATGACCCCAGTTAGAAACATAGCATCTCTCTCCATCTATTCATGATTCTTTGAACTTGGGACCCTGTTGAGTCACTTTAGTGCTAGGCATTTTAAAATTGTATTTGTAAATAGGAATTCATTTTCCTGTTACATTTTCTAGTTATTTCTTGTAGGCATAAGGGAAATCTATTGATTTGAGTTCCCAGATCTTGTGCTTAGGAGTCTTACTAAGTGGTCTTCTCCCTCTTAATATTGTCTCGTGTCTTTCTGGAGAAATAATTACATCTTCAAAAATAGTAGAAGTTTTGTCTCCTCTTTTTCAGAATTTATACTTTTACCGTATACTTTTCTTTTTCTATCTTACTTTTTTCTTTCTCTTTTGCCTTAGTGCATTAGCCAGGACTGCCAGTGTAATACTGAATAGTAACAGTAAAACTGAGCATTTTAGCTTTGTTCCTGAGTTCGAGGGGAATACTTATAATGTTTACATTGAGGCTTTCTGATAGATACCTTTTTTCAAGTTAAGGACATTTTCTGCTGGCTCTGGTTTACTAAAAGTTATTTTTTTTAATCAGACCTGTGTATAGGATATTTATCAAATGCCTACTAAAGAATCTTTGAGAATTGTATCATTTTTTCTCTTTTAATCTGTTTCATCAAGAGTAAATTATATTGAAACATTTTATGAATTGAGTTATTAATTTCACCAAAGTAAAACATATATATAGCTTAAAGTATCAGTTGATAAGGCCTTCACAAACACAACTAGTTCTTTCTGCCATCTTCCCAGTCCATGTCCAGTTTCCCAAATGGATTATCTTCAGCTTTTTGGCTCTTCCTTTTGTATTTGCTTCTGTAATTTGAAATGATATGCTGATACAGCTCTTTGTAATTTTTCGAGTTTCAGACATTAATTTGTTCACATAATAGGACAGAAGATGACGACTTTTTCCGTAACACTCCTTTTCATTCCGTGTCCATTCTCATAATACATCACAGTTGCAGGTTCATCAGTAATCAGTGTTACCATTATGATGACTATTTAAATGTTGTTCACAACCAAGTCATCTACTGTATTATAATTACATTTCCTTTCCTGTGCAACATCCCCCCCAACCCCCGCAAATAACTATTGCCCTCTTATATATTTGCTTGGATTTTCTGTATCCTCACTATGAATTCTTCCCAAGCACTCTGCAGAATTCTAAAATTCTTCTCAGTACAGTGAGACACATTGGGTTATTTATCAATTCCATTTTACTTTCTTGGGGAAGCCCTCCTGGAATTATTCATTCTCCTGATTCCATCAGTTCTGGTTAGTTTCAGTTTCCAAGGCTGACCTTCTGAAGCTTGACATCTCTCCTGTGTTGGGTCTTGTTTTGTGGATTACACGTATACCTCTTTCTTGCTTTACTATCTCATTTTGGTTTACCACATTATCCAGTAGCCTCCTGACTAAGAGCTCATAGAAGATGTATCTCTCTCTCTCTCTCTCTCTCTCTCTCTCTCTGTCGCTCTCTCTATATATATAAAAAATATTTTGTATATTGTATATTTTGTTTTTTACATATATATATATATATATATATAGAGAGAGAGAGAGAGAGAGATTGAGAGAGAGAGAGAGATAACCTACCTTACTGGGATTTAATTGACACTATATATATGTGTGTGTATGTGTATATATATATATGTGTGTGTGTGTGTGTGTGTATATATAAATTGTATATGTCTGGAAAAAAATTTTATCCTTAATCCTCACAACTGCATAAATATTTGTTAAGTATAAATGCAGAGTTTGGAAATTAATTTAGTTCACTGTCTTGCAACTTCTGGCATTGCTAATAGGAAGCCTGATGCCGTTGTGATTCTTGATCCTGTCTTTCTATGTCACCTATTTTGCCTCTCTGAAACTTTCTGGCTCTTCCTTTTAATCCCTTGATTCTAGAATTTCATGATGGTTTGCCTTGATATGAGTGTTAAATTCATTTGTTGTGCTTTGCTCTTCAGGGCCTTTTCAAATGGACAACTTTATTTCAATTCTGATCATTTTGCTTGTGATATTATTTGATTACTTTTCTCCCTTCTGCTTTATCTCTCTCTTTTATCTTTTGGAATTCTTGTTAGTTGGATGTTAGGTTTTCTAGATTGATCCTCTAGAGACTCCCTGTTTTTTTCTTGAAAATCTTGTATGTCTTCTTTTCTTGAATCTACCCTCTATGACATTTTCTGAGGATCTTCATTCCTTCTAGTGATTACAAAACTTCTGCCATTATATTTTTAATTTCCAAAAGCTCTTTTGGAAAGTTGGCTATCTTTTATAGCATCTTCTTGTTGTTTCAAGAAATCAAAAATTTTCTCTCTAATAATGACGATGATAATTTTTAAAATTTCATGTTTCTTCCAAGATTGTTTTAAGTGTTAGTTCCTTCCAGGTTTCCTTCCCAGCTCCTGCTCCATTATTTGCTTGTTCTGAAAGAATTCATCAAGTGTCCATTGGGTAACCATTCACATTTAAGAATCAGACACTAAAAATTTGATTAGGAGCTCTGTGCAAGGAATGCCTCTCATTGACTGTACCTTATTTCGATTTTTCATTTTCCAACTCACCTTCTGAAGGAATGGTGCCACTAA